AATTGTATAATTGAGTCGAAATTCGAGCCATTTGTGTTGAACATAATTCTCACAAAAGAAGTTGAGGAATACATGGACACATTTATTCTCTCCACCTGCTAGGCCAGTTCTGTAACCGTGTGGACCAACTAGTCTAGGAGAAAACACTTCATTAGTTTCTGCAAGTATCATGTTAGTTCACGGACTGAAAAGTAATCAATGGAAAGACATAAGCTAAACCCCGAAATGATATAGTATGAAACAAAATTTAAAATCAAAATTTAAGATATTTTTGCATGCTTCTTTTGATTTTTATTACAGATTTTTATTATAGGTGACCATAGTTGCTTTAGACCAACTATGGTCACCTATAGGTTCAACTATAGCCCGATTCCCACTACTCCCCGGTATTTTTTAACAGAAGTAGTGGTTTATCCCTTGTTTCATTTTAGGATTGGGTTTCCTGTTCCTTTTAAAGTCTACTTCAACTTTATAATTCTAAAGTCTCCACCTAATCTCTAAAATTGTATTTAATATTTATTTATATTTATTCTCAACTAGCAGCATGACCCGGCGTTGTCTGTGCTTGATTCAAAAATCGTACGACTCATACAGCAATCGCTATCACTTGACTTAAATTATTTTTGTCCTTCATTGCCCGTGCTGATGTTGCTACATGCCTTACTTCTTGCCTATATCACACTGCGAATTTTTTCTAAGCTCTATACTAAACATTAAATCTGTTACGAAAAAAGAACTAAACAAAATGAACACAAAACGATCAGCTTTAAAAAAGGACTCATAACTGGAAAAACCGAATGAAAAAAGAATGTTAACAACCATTACTTTTTCACACCCAAGCCAGTTCTGCGGAGTCAGATTCAACGTTGAGTTTAAGCGAGTGAATGAGCCAATTGGAGTAAAGTGCCATGCAGATTTAAATTTTTCCCACTTGTGACAAATGCAGCTATCGATTTTTTTGCTTACTAGCATGCTAGTTAGCATTCGTGTCAGTCAGCTGTTGACTCTTCCAGCTAACTTGGAGCATGTGCATGTAAATTTTGGTGCAAATCCGTCCAAAATTGCACCCGTACATTCGTTACACACACACACACACACACACACACACACACACACCTGCCTTTTATAGATAGAGATAGAAGTAGATAAGTTCAACTATCACCCAGTTTCGATTCTTTATAAAATATTTTCTTTCTCTTTCACTTCCAGTAGCAACTTGCGTCTTAGTAACATTATCGCCTTGCTTCGGGTAAGATGATTTAAAAAAAAAAGTTAATTAAAGTTGACATGTAATAGTTTTCTAAAATCGCAAAAATGTCTGTCTGTATAGCCAGGGGGATAAAATCGTTAGATGAAGTAATCAAGCAATGACTTGACCCAAAGAACTGTAAGTTCAATCACATCTGGGGATGTTTTGTATGTACTGAATTTCTTTAACTTTCCACTGAGCAGATGTTTCTTTTCTCTCCCAGGAACTGTAACTAATTTCCGCTGAGAATAGTTGCAGGATAAAAAAAGGTCTGCTGTCCGGGGGGGGGGATAAAGAAGGAAAGAATGGCCGTGAGCAGTCACCTGCAATTGTGATTAGTTGTCCACCACAGCCGACTCCATAGTCTACTGAAACTGACGGATGATTACTTTGTTTAGCAATCAGAGATTTATCTAACAATGCCTTACATCATGGAATAAATCCAGCGGCACTATGGATTTCTTCATTTATGTGCCATGTTAGGGCGTAAGCGACCATGTATCTCTACGATCTCCAGTCCTATGGAAATCGTAATAAATTTCATCTTTCTGGTAACACTCCTAAACATTGATATGCTATTTCATCAGTCAGGTTTTTCTTCTTATATGTAACCTAACTCTTCAAGACATAGGCGACCATAGCCATCTACGATTTCTAGTCCATTGTCGATCTTAATAAAGGCTGTATTTATTTCATCACTACTAAACCTTATTCCGCCATTCCTTCATTTGGGCTCGGTTTTCTTCTTCTATATGTGCCGTCACACTTCCGGATGTAGATGACCATGCCTCTCTACAATTTCCATTACTTTGTAGATCTAAATCAATGTCGCGACTTTTTTTACCACTACTAAACCTTATTCCGCCATTCCTTCATTTGGGCTCGATTTTCTTCTTCTATAGGTGCCGTGATTCTTCAGGACGTAGTCGGACATGGCCATCTAGGATTTCCAGTCTTTTGTCGAGCTTAATAAACGCTGTGTCTTTTTTTTTTCTCACTGATAAAACTTATTCCGCCATTCCTTCATTTGCGCTCGCTTTTCTACTTTTATACGTGCCGTAAGGGTTCAGGATGTAGGCAACCATGGCCCTCTACGATTTACAGTAGATCTTAATCAACGCTGTGTCTTTTTTTATCACTCCTAAAACTTATTCCGCCATTCCTTCATTCGCTCTCGCTTTTCTTCTATTTTATCGTGACGCTTCAGGACGTAGTTAACCATGGCCCTCTATGATTTCCATCCCATTGTAGATCTTAATCAATGCTGTTTCTTTTTTTTTATAACTCCTAAAACATATTCCACCATTCCTTCATTTGGGCTCGATTTTCTTCATCCATACGTGCTGTGACTCTTCAGGTCGTAGGTAACCATTTTCCTCTATGATTTCCAGTCTTTTGTAGATCTTAATCAATGCCGTGTCTTTTGTTATCACTCCTAAAACTTATTCCGCCATTCCTTCATTTGGGTTCGCTTTTCTTCTTCAATATGAGCCGTGACTCTTCAGGACGTAGGTAACCATGGTCCTTTCCGATTTCCAGTAGATCTAGATCTAGATCTTAATCAAAGCTGTGCCTTTTTGATAACTCCTAAAACTGATTCCGCAATTACATTATTTTTTCTCGCTTTGCTACTTCTATATGTGCGGTGACCCTTCATGATATAGGAGACCATGACCCTCTACGATTTCCAGTGCTTTGTACATCTTAAACAATGTTGTGTCATTTTTGTCACTCCTAAAACTTATTCCATCATTCCTTTATTTCGGCTCGATTTTCTTCTATTTTGTCGTGGCGCTTCAGGACGTAGTTAACCATGACCCTCTATGATTTCTAGCCCATTGTAGATCTTAATCAATGCTGTTTCTTTTTTTTATAACTCCTAAAACCTATTCCGCCTTTCCTTAATTTGGAGTCTCTTTTCTTCTTCTATATGTGCGATGACTCTTCAGGAGGTACGCGACCATTGCCCTCTACGATTTCCACTCCTTTGTAGATCTTAATCAATGGTCGTGTCTTTTTGTATCACTCCTAACATCATTCCGCCATTCCTTCATTTGGGCTCGCTTTTCTTCTATATGTCCGTGAACCTTCAGGACGTTGGCGGCCATAGCTCTCTTTAATATCCAATCCTTTGTAGATGTTAATAAATGCTGTGTCTTTTCTATTATTCCAGAACATATTCCATCATTCCTTCATTTGGGCTCACTTTTCTTCTACTATATATGCCGTGACTCTTCAGGATGTAGGCGACCATGGCCCTCTACGATTTTCAGAACTTTGTAAATCTTAATAAATGCTGTGTCTTTTTAATCACTTCTAAATCTTATTCCGCTATTCCTTCATTTTCTCTCGCTTTTCTTCTTCTGTATGTGCCGTGACGCTTCAGGGCGTAGCGACCATGCCTCAATACGATTTCCAGGCCTTTGTAGATCGTAATAAATTTTGTCTCTTTTGTTTCACTTCTAAACCTTATTCCGCCATTTCTTCATGTGGGCTCGCTTTTCTTCTTCTGTATGTGACGTGACTCTTCAGAACGTAGCGAACACGGCCCTCTACGATTTCCTCTTCTTTGTATATCTTAATAAATGCAGTGACTTTTTTATCACTCCTAAATCTTATTCCGTGATTCCTTCATTTCAGCTCGCTTTTCTTCTTGTATATGTGACGTAACTATTCAAGACATAGGTGACCATGGCCCTCTACAATTTCCGGTAATTTGTAGATCGTAATAAATTTTGTCTCTTTTTTATCACTTCTAAACCTTATTCCGCCATTCCTTCATTTGGGCTTGCCTTTCTTCTTGTATATGTGACGTGACTCTTCAGGAAGTAGGTTACCATGGTCTTCTACTGTTTCTGTCCTTTCTAGATTTGAATATATGCTGTCTCTTTTTCTCACTCGTAAACCTTGTTACGCCTTTTCTTTACTCATACTCGCTTTTCATCTTCACTGTACCTTGTTACTTAAGGACCTTAGGGAACTATGCTTTTACGCAATTCTCTGTACTTTAAATGTCTTAATAAATATTTTCTTTTTGTTATTACTGCTAGACTTTCTTTCCCCGTTCCTTCGTTCAAGGTCACTTTTCTTTTTCTTGGTGCCCTGTCTCTTCAGGACGTAAGTGATATCTGCCCTCCACGTGTCATTTCTGGTTCTTAATATATGTTGTGTTTTTTGTTATCACTTATATACATTGTTTCGCTTTTTCCTTTACTCAAGCTCGCTTTTCTTATTTTATGAGCCGTGTCCTTTCAGGACGTAGAAGACAATACCTCTCTACAATTCCCTGTCATTTGTAGCAGCCTAATAAATTTTCTCTTTTTTTTTTTTTTGCTATCTTTCCGAAAACTTGTTCCGCCGTTTCATCATTCAGGCTCGTTTTTCTTCTATGTGCCGTATTCCTTCAGGTCATAAGCGAACATGTCTCTTCCCAATCTCCTGTCCTTTATAGCTCTTAATGAATTTTGTATTTTGTTATCATCCCTGTGTGTTTTATTTTTCTCTTACCTTTAATCTGTCCCGTGTGTATCAAATTTTCCAAGCCTTCTCTCCTCGTTATGTTTCTCAGAAATTTAAATTTCTCTGTTCTTGATTTTACTTATAAGTGTTCTTTTTGTTGTCATTGACTATAGAACTTCTTCGTTGCTTACGTGTTCGACCCATTTTATTCTCATCATCCTTCTGTAGAAACACCTTTCTGTTCTTCATCTGTAAAGAGATTGTCCAGCATTCATAGCAGAAGTCCCGAAAGCTAATGGTAAAGAGGAGAAGGGTGAGAACAAGTGAGAAAGAGAAAGAAAATGGAATAACCGGAAAGAAGAAATAGGGAAGGTAATTCGTTCAAAAGATACAAACAGAAAAGACTAGAAAAATTAAACATTGGAATACAGATAACAACAGATCGTGTAGCCTGATATAAAGTGATAGTTTATCGAAAGTTTTCAAAGTATAGTTTCCATTGATTTGAACTATTTAGAAGATATGGATTAAGTCCATTTACAAGGAGGGTGATTGTTATGGGACCTTACCCAATAACATAATGGACTATTCCATACGTAATAAATACTGTGCCCCAAGAGGAAGCAGGGAGTTCAGTTCGAAGTCAGGCGACCGGCTGACCGGCTGACCGGCTGATCGGTTGAACTCTCTCTCTTCCGGCGGGGAGGAACCCGAACGAGGCTACGCCGAAGGGTGGAGTCTCTTTCGGGGAGTTAAACCGACCCTGAACCCGTTTATACGGGTTCAAAGGGCATATTTTTGGCCGAGCTCACGGGCTCGAAGATCCCATCTTAAACCGGCCTTGTGCCACATGATGCCCTTGTGCGGGGGTGACTAAATACCGTTCAGCCTGAAGTCGGGCGACCGGCTGATCGGTTGAACTCTCTGCCTTCGGGGTGGGATGAGGAACCCGAACGAGGCTACGTCCAAGGGCGGAGTCGCTTTCGGGGAGGTAAACCGACCCTGGACCCGTTTATACGGGTTCAAAGGGCATATTTTTAGCCGAGACCACGGGCTCGGAGATCCCACGTTAAACCGGCCTTGTGCCACATGATGCCCTCGTGGAGGGGTGACTAAATACTGTTCAGTCTGGAGTGAAGTCCGTCAGGAGTCTGTCAGTCAGTCAGTCAGAGCGAGCGAGTCAGTCAGTCGAGTCAGAGGCAGTCCGAAACAGATTCGCGTTCAGACAATTACTACTAAACCTGATTGTTCATACTAACACTTCTACTTCTCTGTATATATTCCTGTTTGTAATATATCTGTGTTATTCCATATCCGTATTCGAGTTCTTCTTTATTGGTTCTACCTTAGACTATCACTGTGCTACAAGGAACCGGGCAATAACAGTGATAATGTTAAAATCTAGACAGCTATTATTCATCTATTTACATTGTTTAGACTCTTCGATGTTTCGGCCGATGTAAGCTCCGGCCTTTTTCAGGTGATTGAAATTTCGAATCTCCAAGATTTTTTCACCTCATTTGTAGCCAGGTATTGAATTCACATCTCTTTGGACCAAGTCACTGGATTCAACCAACGCTTTTTTTTTCTGCTGGGCGATATGTCCTTAAGGATAGTTGAGTTAAAGAGAGATTACTGATACTGAGACACCTGAAAGAGACATGGCACGTGGAACTAGAACAATGTTCCCCGGTGGACGAAATAAAAACTTCAATTCGAAATTTCAATCACCTGAAGTAGTCCGAAGCGTACAACGGTCGAAACGTCGTGAATATGGCAACAAAGATGAGGACAACAGTCCGAACAATGTAAATAGCGTAAATAATTACACTACCTCATCTCAGAAATATCGACAGATAGTGAGTTCTTATTAAGTATAAATTATTTAATTAGACTACATATATTTTTATGCGCCTATGCAGAATTTACAGCTATATTTTTAAAATGTCATGTCCTTTTAAGTGTTCATATATTTCCCAGATTGATTTCTTTCAATATATCTGAATTGTCAGCAATTATTTGGAAGTACCTGTTGCCTTATCCACGGTTTTGGAATTCAGAGATTTTCTTCTTTTCAACTGATTCCATCAAATGTTAGAGATCTCTGTCTACACTAATATATAACCCATAGCTGGAGTAGAAGAGATGTATACCGGGGGTGGTTGTATAAAAGTGAACTCAGTCGGTAGGTTGCTGGTAGGATGGAACTTGGACTCTACTTGAGGATTTCCTTTTATGCGCCAATAACCGCAACGCTACCTGTATATCCTTACAACCATAACGATCTAACGGTTAATTATGAAAAAAAAAGAAGTTCGGAATTCGGCAGTCTGTCAAAAATGATAAGTCGACTACTATACGGAAACATAATTGCTGGATTGCTATACGGTATCGATTCATGGTAGTAAATGTTGGACAATTTTCTTAAGGATAAGAAGAAAAAGAAGTTAGAAGCGGTAGAGGGTAAGTGCGACACTGAGATGCGAACAAGGATTGGGCGAATGAAAGAATCATTTCAAAAGCTGAGCAAGATGCTGAAAAACCGAAAACAGTGCTTGATTGATATGTGATATCTATCGTCTTATATGAAAGTTAAGACTGGATAATATCCCTCAGGGTTAATGGCAAAAGTAGAGGCAGTAGAAATGTGTTTCTACAGACGATGAATAAGAATTACATGGACCGAAAGAGTTAACTACAAGACAATGGCGAGAGAAACAACAATTATACTCAAAATCAGGAAGGAACAGCTGGAATTCCTTGTGCACATAACGAGGAAAGAGGGATTAGAAAACGTAACACTCACGAGGCATCGAAGTCAAAAGACCTAAGGGAAGGCAGCGAACCACTTACTTGACGTGCTTGTGCGAAAAGATGGCGGAGCCTTACCAAAGGAAGAAAAACTGGGTCTCAAAAGACAGGGAGTTGTGGAGAGACATGAATCCTGAAGGCATGAGACACATAAAAGAAGAAGAAACTGTTAAAATATTATCTATGTTCAGTAGCACGTATTTAGCTTCCTAAAGAACTGAAGATATTGAAGCAATATAAAAAAAAAAAAAAACCTTGCAGGCCATAATAGATACATTGATTTACGAAGCTTAGCTTAGATACGTTTACAAAAAGCATAATCATGTGTTACCCGGTGAGGATCGAACTCATTATTTAATCACAATAAATCTAACGCGACAAGCTTGCTAACCATTGCGCCACATGCGCTCTAGATACACCTATATGATGTATTGGAAAATGGAGATAGGGAAGAAATTGTCGTTATATTAACAAAAATACGCACTAAGAAATAATCAGTAACTATCTCACATACATTTTCTGTCGGACATTTTTTTTCACTTGCATATAAAGCCTACTCCAGCAGTTGTACATAAAAATTCCTGACATTATACATTCCATAAATGCGCTCACGTAAGCATCCAACTACACACATGTGCATGCCACACCCAACGCGAATCACACGTACACACACATGCACACACGTTACCACGAGTATGTATGAACAGGTTAAATAAATTTGCACATCAGTTGCAGCAGAGAAGCACTGCGCAATTGTCGATACAATTTGTAACAGTACTACTGCATCATTTTGTGCATTAGCGCAGCACATTTTTATGGTGTAATGATTTGTGCATACATTGACAAGCATTTATCTTGCTGCACGTCGTATCAAAACACAGTGACTCACAAATACGCACACATTCATATCCGCACATATTCAAATAACATACACATACTCTTCGACATCTATCAGACACAAACTAACAAAATCTGTAGTTACACACTTTAAAACACATTCTCTGTTTCTCTTTCTTTTTCTCTTTCTCTTTCTCCCCCTTTCTCTCTCTGTAATATAAACAAGACTTCATATTCAATCATTTCCTGGCGCGCACGAACATAAACGAAAATCCGCAACTCTGCACATTCAAAAAATAGTCACATATACATGAATAAAAAATAAACATGGGTGCGTAACCACACATTCAAATAACACACACCGACTTTCTCTCACTTTCTCTTATGCATACAAAGAAAAACACATATGTACACACAATAATCTTTATCTATAAGCATTCTAAACAGGCTTTTTTCTTCCTATCTCATACGCAGTATACACAAACACGCAAGGATTTGTAACCACACACATTAAAATAACAGACTCTTTCTCTCTCTTTCTATCTTTTGCTGTACAAACACACACATCTACTTGCATACATACGCACACATAATAATCTACATATATATATAACTATTCTAAACACACTTTTTTCCTTTCTCACTCTTACACACACGAACGGGCGTAAAGAAAACGTTTCCATACATATTAAAATAATATGCAAACACAAGTCAATACACTCTGTCCAATGCAAACTCATACATACATATACACAAGAAAAAATATATATACCCATTCTTTCAGTCTCTCATTCACTCATACACACTCTTAAATACATATGTACACGCACAAAAAATAATTAGTATCCTTTTATAACCATACGCAAATATACACACAATGACATGCGTGCCCACATTCACACGTACACATAAATGAATATTAACTATATACACATAGACATGTGTGCGTGCACACGCATATACACACACACACACATGCACACCCATAAAGAAGAATATATGCCAATACACACTGCGATGTAAGTATTCGCAAACGCACATCAGAATTCGTGTCTATGCATAGACGCACATACACACTAAAATACTGTCGAATATACTAACATAAGAATTTGTGAAATTCACGCACAAATACACTCATATCCAGGTAATTATCTGTATCCTTAAACATTTTAAATACGCATTCTCACAAGCACATAAGGGCATGTTACATAAACTGTATGCAACCATACATACACAGTCGCATAAAGTTGATCATGCGCATTTAGAAGCACGTGTACACAGAGAGCGAGCGAGAAAGAAGTAACAATCCTTACCCGTAATCATTCGCACACAAACTCTCTCCCACTTTCACACTCCTTCTCTCTCTCTCTCTCTCTCTCTCTCTCTCTCTCTCTCTCATACACACACACACACAAGTAATTCGTGTCTCCCTTGTCACACACACAAAAAAATCACATCACATATATTATCATGATTGCGAGGCAATCCACTTTTTTCCCACAGGTATATTTACATAAACCCGCAAACAAAATAAACATTTTATAAGCGCATTCATACAGACAAACGTACACTTTTTCACACCTCATATGAACATTCACATACACATATTAAGCTTAATTGTATGGATATGTATTCAGACACAGACTAAAAACACAATTAAGTATTTCTGTCCATACATATTCTCACTTACATATCAATGGAAATTTTTATACACACACACATATATATATATATATATATATATATATATATATAT